AAGTCCTCGTTAGCAAACTTTTTAGTGTAGTTTGCACGGCATGAATTAACCTTGGCAAACTTCTTCTTTTCTCGGCTATAGCACCACCCAAACCAGTTTAAATTTCCTTAGATGGATCAGACCACTTCACAGTTTAACTAACCGAAAGCTGACTTCACCTCCTTCGTCTCCGAAGCACCGGCTAGGACCGAGCCGAGGGCGGCAAACCAGTTTCAAATCAAAGCACGTCTGAACTGACATGCCCGAGCTACCCATGACATGTCATTTCATCACACAGAAAAAGTGAGAGCGCCGCAGAAAATGGAAAAGATGGTACTGCGGACGCCTGCGCACAGCGAGCTAATCTCCCACAAATCAATACCAGACAGACGAAGATGGAAGCCAATCTCGGTCCCAGCACACATGCCTTGTTTCTGAGAGTCGCCCTGAACTGCGCGACCCCGCAATCACTGACAATGCGGAACTGCTCCCAATATTAGCATCCTCCTACCAGCAGTTCCGCCCGCATTGGGCCGCCCTGGGAGCGACCCTGCCCCACAAACCGTGAGAACGAGGCGCGTGCATACGGCGCTGCCAGTGGATGGGACGGGGGAGGGTCGGTTTAGACAGGTGGGTACAGGCCTCGCCTGCCCCGCCCGGTAGTTTACTCCATATGGCCACTGTGCAAACACAGCCCCCAGGTTGGGTTGAGGCCCGGCCGACACCCGCATGGGAAGACGGATGTGCCGGTGCCGCCGACCGGATGTCAACAGGGCGCCCCGGGTCATGACCCGGATATGGGGCGCCAGGCGACAACAGGCTGGTGCGGGCCGGTCGGCGCTCTAGTGCCGGTCACGGGTAACAGCAGGCAGCAGCGTTTCCTAGGTTTCCCTGATTCAGATCGTTTCCCTGCACTGGTCTTTCCGGATTTTCCGCAGGACGTAATAAACCACGGATGTAAATCAGACCATGTCATTAGCCCCACAGGTGATAAAACCAAACACCAGCCCATAAAAGGAACCCAACCGAAACACAAACTCTGCGAGCGAGCTCTAACCGGCGCAGATAAAAACTCATTGCTATCGCATGACGGGTCCATTCGATAGAGAGCAGGTCGCGGCTGACCGAACCAGCCGGACACACGCCGGGTTTTTGTGTGTATCACGATACGGTCCGACGCCGCCCCGCCCCCGTCCGAGCGGCGGCAGTGCGGGCAGGCCGGAAACGCAACCCCAACCAGCCCGCCCACAGTGAGTACGGGAAGGGAGAGTGGCTGGAATGTGTCAATATCAGACTCTAGTAGTTTGGTGGACATGGATGACATCTTCGGACGCAGGGCTGAATTTCCAGCACCGCACTGATAATCCGGTTCGGAATATCAAACTCAATACCATAGTGCTATATATTACCAGATCCGTATCAGTAGGTAGTGAACCATTCCAATTATACCGTGCTTCATCGGAGTTCATACTAATTACCGGCGCCCTGTCGATGCTCCGCTTTATTACTGACGTCATGCCCGTGCTTGGAAGTATCACTAACACCGCCTCGACGCTCCGAGTATTGGCGGTGCTGAGCGGTGCTGGGCAGTGCTGGGTAGCGCTAGGCAGAGCTGGGTAAGTGGGTAGTGGTGGACACTGGACAGTGCCGTGAGGTCTGTGAGGTCAGAAGCGAACGATCACGGCCGGTCAGCAGATCTGGCAGTAGGGTCGTCAGAACAGGCTGCATTGTGTTACCTCACACGGGGCACAGACTACCGGACGTGTGTCACCGGTCAGTGCGGCACGCGGTCACGGTAGGTCGGTATCAGATCTGTATCACCAGTATAACGCCTTTTGGGGCGACTAACGGAGCGAGCGAGAGGGTGGGCCTTGCACGTGCGAAATTGCGAGGGGTACCTCCAACTGACTTGTGCACGGCACCCTACTAACCGGTCTCTAGCGATGTGCCAAATTTGGGCACAATTGGCCCAGCCGTTCTCGAGATCTGGAAGCGGCACCCTGCACGTGCGCACGTGCAAAGTGGGTCCCAACTGACATGTGCACGGCACCCTACTAACCGGTCCCTAACTGTGTACCAAATTTGAGCGCAATCGGTCGAGCCGTTCTCGAGATCTGGAAACGACCCCTGCACGTGCGCACGTGCAGCAGCGCCCCAACTCTGGCACATGGATATGCAGTGCCTAGTGGGTGCCTACCTACATGCCAACTTTCAGCGCAATCGGCCAAGTAGTTACCGAGATATTGCAACAATTACAAAACGGACACCTCTTCGTTTTGCACGTGGCACGTGCATAAGGGGTCACCCACATGCATCAGGAATAGTCCAATACTTGGTAGAAGGAATGAAGCTACCCTACAAAAATTACCGCGTGTAAATCGGTCAAGTGGTTGCTGAGATATAAGCCTCGCAAAAGCGTGACCACGGCCGGCCGGCCGGCAGGCCGGCCGGCCGGCCGGCCGGCCGCTCATACTCAGAAATTTCCGTTAATCTAAGGAAAGACTACGCTCGCTTCGCTCGCTCCGTAACCAATCCCATCCCTCAACCCGCCCCGGTGTTAGCGTCCACGCCCACCATGGACCTACCGCATTTAACGTGCCATGGCGTGGTTTTTCACAAGCATCCGCCGCCACTAGCTGGATTAAAAATTAGCGGCCAGATCCCCACCAGCTAACACTGGCGCAAAAAAAGACCGAACGCAGCATATGAGAATATGCCAACCACAGGAAAAATCTTATTCTGGCCGCGTTTTATGCAGAAGGAATTCAGAGTTTTCGGCAATTAAATACCCGTCGATCAAACTGACGGCATTTAGTCCGACAGGCTAACGGAGAGCTGCCAACGGAGCGGACAAAACCAAGTGTACCCGCTCGGCGCAGTTGTAAACTGGGTCTATCCGCCACCAGAACCACTCACAGTTTAATTCGATTCTCCGTGAGTGTCGCCCGCTAAAAGATTGATGGTCGTTATTTGTCCGACCGTTTCGCGACGCTCGCGCTCAGTTTTAGTGTGCTCCAGTTTTCATGGATACACTGACGGTGATCCAACCAACAAAAGCACCCGAGGCAGCGGCAGGTATAGGCCGCAGAAATGATAACACAGTTAATCCAGAAGCGATCAGATAGTATTGTAGCGGTTCGCAGGGCGCCGAGTGAAGGTATTGAGCGCGCTGCCCCACTGATCAACATCAGTACACCTGGCCGCCCTGATACCCTAGTATGACGGCTTCGCGCTCCTTTGTCCAGTTCTGATGGTGCGGATTAGTCAGTAGACCAATCAGTAGCCGATGAAAAGACTGACGAGTAGGCCCAGCCGGGGTCCATTGAGCTCGTAAATATTCGGTCACGGCAAAAGTGTAGCAGCGAAGGCACGTAGGTGATAAGAGCCGCTGATTCAATCTACCATTAGCTTTTTTGATCGCGGGATTAAGTGGATAGTGGTGTCGCCATTCACCCACGCAATTAGCGCTTTACCATTCAATCTGTGTGGTCGGCGAGACAGACCAGTTACCCTTGACCATTGTTCCAGACCAGCGTTATTGCGTCGAGTACAATAATACCGAGACCAGCCTTGACTTTTCTCACACATAAACGTCGCAGTAGGTCTGCCAACTCTTTCTCGCGTATGAGCCAGCAGTTGACCGCATCTTGATAACAACTTCTCCCAGGGATTGCGTGCCGAGTGCAACTAAAATCAACCCAAACGACCAGCCACTGGCTAAACCGGGTCAAGCGAAACCAAGTCACACACCCAGAGGAGATAATTCATGGAAGGTAATCCGCGGAGTCGGGCACACCGTTTTGCCATCTCGGCACCTTTCCTATCCCAGAGTCGGGACTAGACTAGCGCCAGGTCCGCTCAGACCGGTAAGGACGGGGCGGGCCGCAGGTTATCGTAGGCGGGGCGCATCGGCCTGCAAATGGGTCTGTTTGTTTGTTTGTTTGTCGTTTATTCATGATTATGGGCATGGACAATGGACAGAAATAAAGTTGAATTGGTGCAAAAGCATAAACTTATTACGAGGCACCTCTTCAACAAAACAAAACGAAACAGAGCATCACCGAAATAAACACACACACACACCAGGTCCCACGCGCAACCCCGCCGCCCCGACGAACCTTCCGACCACTATAGCTGGACCACACGCGCTCCGCCAGCCTGCGGCCTCCCCCTAACTTTGTACGGCGGCCCGTCTGGCCAGACCGGGACGGTGCCGTTCCATGGCATATGCCGTCCCGGCCCCGGGGAGAGCTGTGGGATACCTCCCCGGGCCGGGGAGATCTGGTGGATACCTCCCCGGCGCTCCAGACGGGCCGCGAGCCCCCGCCCGCACCCCCGGAAAATCATCTTTCCCGGGGGTGCCCCCTAACCACCGCCCGGGCGAGGGGAGCGCCGACCCGACCGACAGGCCGGCGCCCCGCCCGCCCGGGCGGCCGACCGGTCCCTTTCAAGTGGGACCGGTACCCAGGTTGGTCTGATGGGCCTGATGACGCCCATTGGACCCGCCCATTTACCATCGTAACTACACTGTCGTAACATCGCTGCACGCGCGCCGCGGGTTACGTAACGACCTCCGCACGGCGCCGACCGGCCGCGTACGACCCTCCCTGGCCGCTGGACACGGTAACTGACGAGGCTGGAGCAGAACACATCCCGCCCTGCCCTCCTGTCGGAGCGTGGCACAGGTGTGCCGACATCAGCTCCACTGCTCTGCAGCAAACCTCAGCTCGACCTCAGCTCAAAACTCAGCGGCTCATCTCGGAAGCTCGAAGCCCAGCTCCAACGCCAGACTGGTTCGGTAGCTCTCTTCACAGCCCAGCACATGGCTCAGCTCTAAGCTCAACTTACAGCTCAGGTCGGCACCTGACTTTTGCAGCTCAGTTCAGCAGCTTAGCTCGGTAGCTCAGCAATCAGCACACAACTCAGGTCACAGCTCAGCTCTCAGCTCAGATCAGCTCGACAGATCAGCTCTAAGCTAAGCTCGCAGCCTAGCTCGGTAGCTCAGCTCGACAGTAGCTCACCTTTGGCGGCGCTGGCGGTGTCGGCGATCCGCTGAAATGTGTCCAGGTAGGCCGAGATGGCCAGAAGCGTAGCCCTGTGAACAGAAGAAAGGGAGAGGTCAGATCGAGAAGTCACCGGGCTTACAGCGCCGGGGAGCTGTGGAGTGTGGACAGACAGAGCAGGGGTCAGAACGAGAGGTCACGAGGTACTTACGTACACGGGGAGAGCTGCGGGCATGGGTGGAGCTTTTCCAGGGAAGTTGGTGGGGTGCCATTTGCCAAAGGCTCACACAGTCACATGGCCGCAACAGCCACAATTGCAGTAATAGCAAAGACGCAACAAAGCTACAGCTGCAACAGAGTTGCAGCCACATCAGGAAAGTTGTGCAGTCGTTGCAGGCACCTGATAGGTTAAATCGCCTACTGGAGCAGCCCAGGAGACGGTAAGATCAAAGCTGCACCGCTGAGCCGTGCAGCTCAGGTAGGTAAAACCCCAGACACGAGTGTGGGGAGGGGCAGCATTTGTAACCGTTCATTGTGCTGGGTATCGATCAGTACTGACCCAGAAACGGTCCACAGAGCCGCGCACACAGCGTAGTGGCAAGGTGTGATGCATCATTGACATGACGTCAGCGGTTATTAGGGGGCAGTACGGGTAGCAGAGCCGCGGAAAATGTCAATCACGCGTGAACAAAGGCTGGGAAGGAGTTGATTGAAATTCCCACCGATGCCGGATCTGTAGTAAAAGTTCCTGTGAGTGTTGTAGTGTTATCACCTAAACGTAGCTCACGAGCTTTCTCGTTTCTGTCAAAATTGACAGGTCCTGAGAAAACAGTGGTTTTAGTTCTTGTCGGAGGATTTAGTCGCCACCATTGCGGTTTTAGGTGAAAATATAAGCGATTAGCGGCGTACAGAGGGCTACCTCAGGGGGTAATCGTTCGATGCTCTTTAGACACGCCCATTTTTACCGAAGTCCTTCAGCTAATGAGCGATTTGCGTGGTGATCGCTCATAAGATACAGGCGAAGTAACACCAGCTCATTAACCATTTGGCATGTGTAGCACCTGTATTACCAGCTCCTGAGCCAGCCAGTCATCAATCATGGAATGAAGGCGGCGCAATGTCGTTTAAAATAAACGTTTTACACGTCAGACGCGAGTGGCTAAGCCTACCGACGGAAGCAAAATCGTCGGACCGGATAATCCACCCTGTAATCGACAGAATACGTCGCGCCCCGTCTCGGCCTGGCCCTACGGTAACCACAGTCACAGCGACTGTTCCAATACGGAGTTTCCGCACCTCCCGAACACCGGCTGTCCATCTGTCATCATTGTCGGCCCGCCAACAGCCCTGTCCGGCCGCTCTGTCATCAGAGGCGACACATCGCCCGTAACTGCACGACTTACACCATGCGCCACTGTCTGTATGTGTGGGTGCGCCACATAGGAGCGTTTGGGGGTAATCAAACCCACCCAGGCCTCGGGGAGCGCCGGCGGGCAGCCGAAATAGTCCGACCCCGATCGAACTGACCGGTCGACGCCCACTGCGCTGCATTGTGCGGCCCACTTTCACCAGTAAATCGTCGAAAGCATCGCGTCGAAAACGTTGAATCGGAAACGTCACATCGAAAGCGTTGCGTTTAAGTGTCACGCCACCTAGCGTCCTCCCTGCGTCTTGTTCTTTACTTGCCAACTTGCATCGAACGTCTCGACGCTGCCTTTTGATTAATGAATGCTTCATCAGCCGGTGACCTAAACCTGTCACAGGAATGTCCCAAGGAATGTCCTTCACCGTCCTGGCTCCTTGTGTATTGTGTCTATGCCGAACAGCTGAGACAGCGCACGGGAGGACATTGTCTCGGGAGCACGGTGAGACATTGTCTCGGGACGACGGGTCTCCATGGATCCCGGCGCGGTGGTGAAATATCGCCAGCAGAGGCTGATGTGAAGGCCGCCTTTACTGGAGCGGAGCGAGTCATTATCATTGTCTGTTTTAGGTAGGCCGGCAACAGGTCACCCAGCGGCTGTATTGATTGGAGTGTGACTATCACCGGTCTCTATTCGAGTCAATAATTGCAAAGGTAACCGGCCGAGAGCGTTTGCATTATGACAAATTCCATGAATATCTGAGATTGCAGCATATATTTGACAACCGTCGGAATTGATAGAATTTTGCGTATTGTGATTAAACAAGATTGATAATCTACTACTAGCCCTTCAAACAAATTACCTACACCATATCTCATCACATTACAAAGAAAGCCTCATCATTTGATAGCATTAAAATGAACGATCGCATCAGGCAAAAACACCGCTAACTTCAAATTGCCTCATTCAAAGTATCCAATCAATCCAGCGCCCACTATCACCAACACGGAGCGGGCGGAAAGAACAGGCGCCGTCCCCTGGCCGACGGAGGGTGCCAAGTATTTCATCCGGCCGCCTATAACGACCAGCCATCGGTCCCGATTGTCCCATAGACAGGCGCCGTTCGCCCTGATGGCCAATAACGGCCATATGCGTCGTCCGCGACGAGCACCCCTCCCCCCGCTCCCCCGTCGCCCGTCTCATCTGGAGACAGAGAAGCCCGGATGAGACCGCTACCCCATCAGTGCTCGGTGCTATCGCCGGCCGGTGTAGCACCTTCCCAGAAAACCAATCCTCCTGGAAGATCCATCTGGGCACCGTGTTGCCAAGACGTCTATCTGACTCGGGGCACGCCCTGCAGAGACCCCTACACCTCCCTCCTGGGCATGTGGCCAGCAAGAAAAGACTCGCTCTGACACCACGTCGATGTCTCTGACATCGTGTCGACACCTCTGACACCAAGTCAGAGCCAGCATTGTGTGTGTATCTCTGAAGGACCAATGTGTCCACACTGATACCCCGATCACGCACGCACAGTTACCGACAAACACAGGTCGTGAAACGACCGGAGGGAGCATGGGACGGGCCTGCAGTACAAAACTAGGCCAACAGCGCCTCGTTGTGAATTCAGCGCACATTCGAGCTCCAGTTTATTAGGAAACTCGTCAATCTTCCGGAAGGTCACCGCAAAGAGCCCCAGCCGCCATGGGGCTACAGTGACCCGGAGACGAAGCAAACGCACCAGGCCCAGGTCAAGGTCACCAAGTGACCTAAGTGGGCGGCGGTAAAAGTAATGGCGCTATAAGAGACTAATAGGTCACATAGTGCCGCGAGATATCTCTGGGGTTTCCACGCCATCCCGATCGCCATATTGCCAGCCGTGTTATCTACTGCGGTGCAGCTGGAGTCAGATGATGAATGGCAGATGCCTTTGGCTCTCTAACAGCGATTAGAGCGGCAATAATGACGATCAAATAAGCCCAGCTGGCCATCTGCGACTTCACTTATGATATTTATCACATCCACTGTAGGTACCTAATTACACCTTAGAATATCAAACCGAAACATAAACAAGCCGAGAGAGGACGCTAATCGGTTGCTATGGCTCCATCAGTGATGGACCGTGCAGAAATGACGTCATTTCCGGCAATCGGCTGTCCTGGCCCAGTGAACAGAATAAACACAATGACGATAGTGTGCTCAACACGCCCAGCACATTACATGTACTAATCAATGACCGTGCAGACATGGTGCAGGCTAGGAGTTAGGACAGGGCCGCGGCTGGATTTCTCGGTATTATCAGATCTGTTTAAAATGATAGCCAACAAGGATGATTTTGATTCGGCTGACGGTCAGTCGAGATGAACACGAATTTACACTCGGGTTAGTTGTGATTTGTTTGCTTTAGTATCGGCTTGACAGGTGTTGAAGGATCACGAATTACTCATGTTAGAGTACCTCATACAGCCACGAGTTTTGCCAGTTTAGATTAGGTACAGTAGCTTATATAAATTTCCTCGATTTGATTTCAACACAAATGGCGGCTGGCGCATTATCGGCCACCATTCAGGGGATGGGATTAGAGTGAGAAACTATCGGCCATTACTAGAAGATTAATCCTTAATCTGGGTACTAATTCCCGCTGAATTACGGCGATTTACTGGCTGATAGTTCAGTTGCAGGAAACCGGCCACCATCTTGGCAACGCAACCATGGTGCATTCATGCATTTATGAAATGTGGGTGGCATAAGATGGGATGCAAATCACAAAGACTTACGGAGATTGCCTCAATATTCAGAAACGGCCCTGGACCAAACGATGCGCAAAGCGGCGCGATACGGTAGGAGCCGCACCTAGCTTCGAGCGCAACCCATCCGTTATATCCTACACAAATAATGCACGCCGTCGGGTCCCGACACGACAGCGTCTGATTGATGACCCCAGTTTTTACGTCCCGCTGCGTCACCTGTACGGCAGCTCCCAGCCGCAGATACTGGGGTCAGTCAGCCACCCCCGCCGGCCGCAGAACTGCGCGATCGTGAAACTGACAGTCACCAGACCCTCTGCACTGCCCCACGAGGCCAGGTCATGACCATTACACCCCGCCGGGCCCCTGTTGCCGCCCGGGGGGGGGGCGTGTTTATATAAATACTGACGTCACAGGTCACGCAGGTCATTAGGGTCACCGCGGTCGACTGAAGGTGGCTCTGTTGAACGGGATGTAAACAGTCCGCCACCGCCGCTGGACTGTTTCAGAGTCGGTTCACAGGGCCCGCCGTAACATACAAGGCCGCCCCTGACTAACCGCAGTCCCTCGCGACCGTCGCAGCTTCAGAACCCACTATTTACAGCACTTTTTGCAATTCTAAAAGACCTCAAAAGATTGTGCAAACTTCTTCACGGATGTGAAGTTTGTTGAACCAAAGATAGAAACTTCTCATCGTCCCCGTAATCAAAATGCATGCTGTTTACGTCACCATGACGTCATAGCCAGAGTTGCAGCAAGTCCGGGTCCGTGTAATGGGATCAGAAGTTGCTGGCGCCTCTGACTGGCCATTCGCATCCATATGCCTCCGTCACCTGTTCAACTGAGACCGGCTCCAGCGTCCTGCCTGGCCACAAATCTCTCCTAAATGGGAGGTGTCTGTACCATCTGTTGGCTTATCTGTCAACTGACGTCATCCGGCGATCGGGGAGCGGGGGTAATTAAATTTGCGGTGAGGGTTTATGCTCAGTAAAGTGTATTTTTCAGTTTTACGAGCCACCATATCTGGAAGAGCCAGTACCGTTCGACAGATCGCTAACTGGGCGATATATCGTCAAATCTTACAGCTATAAACGTCATCTGATTTTGATGATCTCTGGAGTATGGACCCTGTGACATTTGTCTGTGACTTCTGGTCCCCGAGTGTATCTCTTCTGGCCCTCCGTGTGTGAATCCTGAGTCCTGAGAGTGACTCCTCGACTCTGTGTGTGATTCCTGAATTCTGAATGTGCATTGTGACTTGAGTGAGCCTCCTGACTCCTGTGTAAGACCTCAGGTTCCTGGGTGTCATTCGGTGACTGAACTGAGTGCTGGATGCATGTCGCTTTGACGCACACCGGGTGCGGTACTCACTTGAGGCAGGAGTGGAGACGTGACGCGTTCTTGACCATCTCCTCCCACAACGGCTGGGAGCCCTGTGGACAACAGAGAACATACAGTCAGCTCCATGAAGCTCCATTAGTAGCACACGTCGTAGGTTTTCATTGTGACATGGGAGGGACAAGTCGGCTGGGAAACCGGACACTGGACAGCGAACAAAATATGATCGGAATGGAAATGAGTAGGCAGTGACATCCACAGTAGCAAAGTGTTCACTTGAGAAATACAGCGGGTGGGATCCCTGAGGACACGGCAGACGAGTACAGGTAGGCAAGGCATTCCGGCATTGAGTCAAACTCCGCCACCATCACTGTCGACAGCTTCAAAAGCTCTGCCCCTCAGAGACGGACAGCATACCCCGGAGGCGGCTCCGACTGAAAGGCTGCCGCCGATAGACAGATGATCCCCTATCAGCGAGATGGCTACCGGTCTTCAGACGCCCGACATCACATTTATGGCCGTGAATCATCGCCAGCCTCCACAGCGGCCGCACCTGTCTCTCGTACAAAGTCGCACAGATTCGTACAGACATCCGAAGGTGAGGGGTTCAAGCTGTGCATCAACACTCCGAGGCATCAAAACCCGTCATCGCCTACAAATCCAAACATTTGGGGAATGAAGTCGATTCGGGGTAACATGCGTCAACCAAAACATGGCGGCCACAGCTGCGATAAGAGGGAGCGTGATGGAAAGAGAGAGAGAGAGAGAGAGAGAGAGAGAGAGAGAGAGAGAGAGAGAGAGAGAGAGAGAGAGAGAGAGAGAGAGAGAGAGAGAGAGAGAGAGAGAGAGAGAGAGAGAGAGAGAGAGAGAGAGAGAGAGAGAGAGAGAGAGAGAGAGAGAGAGAGAGAGAGAGAGAGAGAGAGAGAGAGAGAGAGAGAGAGAGAGAGAGAGAGAGAGAGAGAGAGAGAGAGAGAGAGAGAGAGAGAGAGAGAGAGAGAGAGAGAGAGAGAGAGAGAGAGAGAGAGAGAGAGAGAGAGAGAGAGAGAGAGAGAGAGAGAGAGAGAGAGAGAGAGAGAGAGAGAGAGAGAGAGAGAGAGAGAGAGAGAGAGAGAGAGAGAGAGAGAGAGAGAGAGAGAGAGAGAGAGAGAGAGAGAGAGAGAGAGAGAGGAGAGAGAGAGAGAGAGAGAGAGAGAGAGAGAGAGAGAGAGAGAGAGAGAGAGAGAGAGAGAGAGAGAGAGAGAGAGAGAGAGAGAGAGAGAGAGAGAGAGAGAGAGAGAGAGAGAGAGAGAGAGAGAGAGAGAGAGAGAGAGAGAGAGAGAGAGAGAGAGAGAGAGAGAGAGAGAGGAGAGAGAGAGAGAGAGAGAGAGAGAGAGAGAGAGAGAGAGAGAGAGAGAGAGAGAGAGAGAGAGAGAGAGAGAGAGAGAGAGAGAGAGAGAGAGAGAGAGAGAGAGAGAGAGAGAGAGAGAGAGAGAGAGAGAGAGAGAGAGAGAGAGAGAGAGAGAGAGAGAGAGAGAGAGAGAGGTGCAAAATGAGACATTGCACGTCACCACATCTCCCAACCATCACATCAGCAGTGAAGGGCGCGGTGCGCCGCCACATAACTGCTGACGTGCGGCCAGCAAACACCGCGGCTACTGACAGCCCAGGGCTGCTGCAGCTGCTGCTGACAGCTCAGGGCTGCAGCAGCTCGCGCGGACAGAGCTGCTGACGGCCGCTGCGGGCTCCGACAGCCACGCTCTGTGCGGCTGGGACAGGGACATGGTGGGGAGGGGGAGGGGTGGGGAGCGCCGACACGGAGGGGAGGGAGTGGAGGGAAGGCAGACACAGCTCGTCCCGTCACATTCGCTGATTAGCAAGACGAGCAGCGGCGCATACGAGGCGGCGGTGGCGGCGCAGCGTGACGAGCAGTGGTGTGGGGTGCGGCGAGGAGCGGCGCAGAGGTGCGGCAGTGGCAGCAGAGGCGAGCGGAACAATAACGGAATGGGCATATTTGCGGCAAAGTGGTGAGGACAAGGGAATGCCTACCTGCTGCAATAAAAAAATACCAGAAAAACATCGACCGGGTCAACAAAATGAATGATGTCACAAAAAGCAGATAAACAACTAAAAAGGCATAGCACGTCACCAAAATTTACTAATGTGATCTAATTACCAGCCAGTGATAATGACGATGGCGCCGAACAGTCGCGATTCCCCGGATAAAAACACGGCACAGAGAGTGCCGGCGGGCCCGCTGTACCAGAACAATACCCGGCCGATATCGGGCCAGTCTGATCCCCGGGGAGTCGGATCGATCGATGATGGATGCTTTTATCCCCGGTCAAAGGTCAAGGTCACCCAGCGGCCGGGGCAGCCGTGCGTGGCGCTGGGAGGGGGAGGGGAGATCGTGACGGCCGCGTCACGCTCCGCCACGCGCCGTGACGTTACGGGTGACGGCAGAAGAAGCGGAAACCGTACGGAGTCACGACGGGACGGCACTGAATGTCCGAGGTGACAGCTTCAGTGCCGCTAGTTTACTAAATAACGTCAGCGGTTCGAATAGAATAGACAGCTGATTAGATCAATAGGAAATGCCGCAAATCATCGCCGGGTTATTCAACCATCACGGGGTGTTCTATTCTCGCCACGATATTTATATTTCCAATAAATAATTTACGGAGATTACTGAATCGCCACTCGATATCATGCAAGCCACGCTTCCGATACACATGGATTCCATGAATTTAATAACCTATTTCCAGTGAACTCCAATATCCCCTGCTCGGAATTCAAAGACAGCCAGACTCCGCTCGCCAATGGCAGCCAATCGCTGCATTGATGACCCTACGAGCGCGGCGTCGGGCTCAGAACAGAGCGCCACTGGTGAGTGTACCCATGTTTTATATCCACGATATACATGATAACACAGCAGCGTTTGCCAGTAGCGAGAGCCGAGCTCATAGTCGACGACACGTAAAGAGCAGTGAACAAAAACTCTGCGATAGTGAAGCTAATAACGATGAGGTGGACCAAACGAACCAATTTCTACAAGTGTTTTACGATAATAACTTCCCTAGTGGCAATATGATTATCACATTTGCCGGAAAAAGTAATTGCTTTTCGGAGCGAGACCTGCGTATTACATAACCTGTCTACATTAGCGGTGTGTCTGTGGATATAATGAGCTCTATTTCTGGCCATGGCTGCAGTGTCACAGCCACCAGACTCGACCGAGGGACACAAACACAAACCAGACACTAACACGGAGCGCACATACACACACGGACACCCACACAGACACACAAACGGCGACAGGGCGGCAAAAAAAAACGGCGCTAATAAACCTGAGCCTGGCTGAATACGGCCTTGGCTCGGGGCCCATAGGAGGCGGCGGCTGGGCTTGTTACCATGGGATCGACCTGACCTGGCAGCTCGCATCGCCCCATCGTTAAGCCCCTCCCCCCGCCCCTCCCAGCCAAGCCTAGGGTCATCGAACGTTCACAGCTCCCCCGGATACTCCTCTTGGCCAGAATGAAGCTTTTAGACAACTCTCCACATTGCTGATTTCTTCACCAGCACTGTCAACAATATACCCGAAATCAAGGTTGAAAGCAAGTTTTTGAAGTGAATTCGTAACTTCTGGAATCGCACGCGTGACGTGACCTTATCAATTATCTCCCCCCATTGACCTGACACTAACCTCTCTTTCTGAAACCAGTCCCCAGCATGACCCAACATCCCAGTCCCGTCCCTCGTCCACTCCGCTGCCTCGCCCACCCATCTCGACAGCAGACGTCACACAAACTCAGCCCGATTCGGTGCGCACAGTGACCACCCCCGTCTGTCCATTACACTAGTCCGCCCGCCCTGTCCATTACACTGGTCCGTTCTAATTCGCACAGTCCGTCTAATTCGGACCGACGTCGGACCAGCCTCGACTTGCTGTAAACATGGTGGTGGTAGACGAGCAAACATGGTGGTGGACGAGTAAACATGGTGGCCACAGATTGACAGAGTCGGGACACGCCCTCCCGTCCGACACGCAACATGGAGAGCGAGGAGGGGTCGTGCAGCGCTGCTCCTCCTGCACGGGCAGTGATGGGTGTGGTGAGGCGGGGATGGGGCGGAGGGGGGGGGGAGTGTGGGACGGTAGGCAGGAGGAAATGTGAAGTTAGAAATAAAAATATGAAATATGAAATGCTCAAATTGTCCATAGAAAAACAAATGCATCAATGTTCCCCATTCCACGGTACACACTGCAGTCTACACCATGCACAATGCACATCCCACAAATGCCACCTGACGGCTGACGGTTACATCCAGCGGTTCCTAACGACTATCCCGAAACCCAGCCACCACTGAACACTATCCTGACACCCAGCCGTCAGTGACCACTATCACCAGCCGGTGCTCAGTGCCTCAGACCGACCGGTCTTATCCGCCGCTCCAGGGGCAATCACGACCCGCCGAGGGAGCCATTTCTCAAATAGAATCCCCGTTCGATAGGGTCGGAGGACGTCTCAGAGGCCGGCTGTGGTGGCTGGACGGGTGAGCGGGTGTTCTGGACTGTCTGCTAACGGCAGATATCTGGGGCAGACAACCGAGTTCAATTAGACAGCGCTGGGCGGCACAAGACGCCGCCAGACGGCACAGATATGCAGGCTTAGCCACAGACTGCCAGATACTACAAGACACTTCACGTAGACATCAAAAGTCACTGTCGGCGACCGGCAGAAGGAAGCCTCGCAAAACACCACTTGGCTTGTTACCGCCAGATAAAAACAACAATCGATAACGATCATAAAACATATGTAAACATTATCCTACTCCTGATATAAGCGATCACAACCAGCCGCCAATACCGACCGATGAGTTTATCCAAACACCACCCCTTACCACTCAGAAACCACAAAACATAGGCCAGAAACCGCGAAACGCCAGTGGGCACAGGCCACAGCCAGCCACTACTGACCACCAGTCGACATCACCGACCACTACCATCCCTTGTCCTGAAATAAGCTTAGCAGCTCCACCACCTCGCCCAAGCTCTTTGCTCGCTCTGCCGCTCGACCAGCACAGTTTCTCACCTCCTTCCCAAGCACAGCCCTTCCCCACATCGGCCACATCCCACCCCCGGCACAGCTCACCACAGCTCTCCAAGCATAATCCTACACCACATCCCACCCGGCACAGTCTCCCTCCTTCTCCCCGAACACGACCGCACAACCCTTCTCGCCAGCACAGCTCCCCACAGCCCCGGCAGCTATGCTGTTCATTACGCCGCCGGCCCGGCCGAGCTGCGTCTCATTAGACCAGCCGCCCCGAGCCGCGATGGATGGACGGGCAGCCGGGGAGCGAGGTAGCCAGGGAGCCGGCAGCTGGGGAACCGGGGAACTGGGGATCTGGGGAGTCGGGAAGCCAGGGGGAGGCGGAGAGACGGTGCCCAGCACAGTTTTTATCAACGCATGATAAGGCACTGGACACCAACACCTAAGGTAGGTAGGTAATAGGCGTAGACAGCCGGTCTACATGACACTACAAACAGTACCTTGAGTCACAGAGATTAGCAAGATGTCTTTGGGCTGTCTTGGCCGGTACAGCCTCAGAAAAAGGACTTGGACTGTTGTGCTATACGGACGATTGGGCCAGTAGTCACAGAGACGGGTGTAGGTATGGATAGTGTAATGGATTGTCTTAGATATATTGACCGGTACGCCTCGCGAGACGGGTAGAGTCGGGTGTCCAAAAGGACGTCTGGTCAGCCGAGCGGGGCTTCAGAAGCCACACAACCGATCACGTGCCTGGCATAACGATACGGCACCCCCGCCGGCGGCTCCGGGCCGGCGGCACGTGACTGGCTTTGGAGTTAGATCGGCGATTCATGGACGATTGGGATTAGTTTGCATACGTGAGTGGTGCAGTTAAAACAGTTCGTGACTGACGATTATGATGAGGTCCGATAAGCGTAAAGCACCGGTCAGGAGCACGGCCCACGGCAGTCCATTGGGAGAGTTAAAATCTCGAGCTATAGGTATTGTCGGTTTTCATCGGTATTCGTCAGGCAATATTCACATCTGGCTTCAAGTAAAAACCGCCACGAGTCCACATAAACCAGCGCCCAGGGCAGTAATAAGGAATACCAAAACTATGCAGAGAGCCGCCAAGACAGCGGCGGCAACGGCTGTATGTAAGTACTTCTAGAAAGTAGAATCCCCTTAGAATCCCCTATCAGCCGTCATCAAGTTAGTACAACGCACGTCACTGACACACTACGACAAGTGGTGTGCACTGACGACTGACGCTCAATCCAAGACCACCTCGCGAAGGCCCGAGCCCCCATACAGGTTACAATTTCAGTATGCGTTATTACTTATTCCACCCTTTTCTGTGGTTAGACGAGATTTTCGCCGGGGCTCTCGGACGCCACACATAAATCGCGAAAAGGCATGATCCACAAAACGGCACGAATTACGCGCCGCTTCCGCGCCGTTATATATGGGCATTATGCTTTCTCATAAGCATCGCACGGCCCCGGCATATATCAAACGCGTTCAGCCATGTAGGTATGCGTCCGCACGTTCTTCTCGGCCTTTTCGCAGGACGATCGCTGCTGGCTGGGCGGAGATTTTGATGTCATTTTCGGGCGCTGAGACATATGAGTGGCGGCGCGTCCAAAACTTTGTCGACCTGCCGTCCCGAGGGGTAGAAAGCCGTCACAAATGACGAGCCCAATCCCTGAGGCGGGAGTCCCCCGCGATGAGATGAAAGGTCAGAGCACCGAAACAGAGAGTGCGGGCTGTGGTGCTCAGGTGCTTAGGGGCACGGCTAGGGTCACTGGGATGTGTGAATCATGCAGTTGGTAGCTATAAGCAGAGATTGGTAAATCTACTGAGATTAACATATTTGAAACTACATACTTAGGCAGCAATATCTACACAGAACAAATGTCTCTTTTTGATCCATTTGCTCCTCCATTTGCTGTTCTTTAAGAAACACTGTCATCCACGCACAACTGTGACGTACGTGCTAAAGACAGCTCATCAACGGCATATACGCTTCAGTGATTGCTACATGAATGCCTGCAGGATGTTATTTGGAAACCGTCACATCGTGTTCCCCAGAGGCGTCCAACACGGTGTAAGCTGAAAACTACGCAGTCTAGTAAACCGCAAAATGCCTAATTTCCTGTCACTTGCGCAAAATGGTCAACATGCATTTACTGAAAAAAAAAAAAATATTGAAATATAAACCGTCGCCACACATTTTAGTTCCCATTTGGCCGAGTTGAAAAAGAGTATAAAAATCAGCATCATCTTCACGCTGTCAGGCTCCCCAACATCCCATTTTCGTTAGAGCTGACAGTGTAATCCCATGCCGTCACCTGCGACTATTTCGGCGCCATCAGCCCGCAATCACGATCAACTAGACTGTTTGATCCAAAGATTACTGATGTCATCCTTGTATTGGTCTCTTTACAAGCCTTACCCTTTCACAGATATTCAATATTCAGAGTCAGAGCGAGCACGGTGATCCAGCCCAACACCTAACTCTGAGGAAGTAACTGGACCACCCTGACCCACACATTACACCTTGTTCAGAAAACGCCGTGGCATTCCCCTCTACCCACCCCTGCCACGGATCAAGGGGGTCGAGCCAGTATCCTAAGCGGTCGGTTACCGCCCCCGGCTATCGGTCAGCTGAGAGGACGGACCGGTCAGCGGCAGGTCACTCTCAGAGAGTGGTCGGTAAAAACACGGCGCCAAACGGACGGACGGCGGTGCACAACGGGGCGGGTAGAGCACTTAGAGAGGGAGGGAGGGAGGTGGAGGGGAGGAGGGGGAGAGGGAGGGGGAGGGGAGGGACAGAGAGCGAGAGAGAGAGAGAGAGAGAGAGAGAGAGTAGAGCAGAGCAGAGCAGAGCAGAACGGAGCAGAAAAGTGCATATAGCAAAACGAGACAGGGTAGACTGCAGGGAAAAAGGAGAATGACAGCTGCAACGAAGAACTCCATCCCCTCCCCGCCCCCATCCTCCGTCCCTCGCACCCCACCGTCACCGTCCCACCGACCGGATGGCGTCCGGTGGCGTCAGCTGGATGACGCCGGTCCGATGACACCCGCCGCCGCCCGTCCGTCCGGTCAGCTGGCGGCTCCGTGACGGTCGGTCCGTTACTCGGCCCCGCGCCGTCCGCCGCACGTCGGCCCCAATCGCCGCGCCGCAGGGAAGACGGAGGGAAGTCGGAAGGAGAGCGGAACGATGGAAGGAAGGAAACTGGAGGGACGACGCTAGGACAACGGAGGGATAGCCAAAGTTATCAGCGGGGTGAAATATTTGGGCATTGGTCTGCTGCACAGCAAAGCGAGCGCATGCACGGATGCCGCGGGCTGCAGCAGTGACCCACCTTGAGGTCGCCGATGATGGTGGCGAAAAGGCTCGCCATGACGCCACACGCGTCCTTGTCCTTCACAATGCTCTCCATGAGCTGCAGCACGGCCGTCTCCATGGCAACAGGAGATGAGGCGCTCAGCTGATGACGTCAACACTGGTTCCGGCCGCCGCACCGCTGACCGGCCGCTGGAACGGACAGAGGTGAACGTCAGCGGGGAACAGACAGCGGGGAACGAACAGCGGGGAACGAACAGCGGGGAACGTTAGCGGGGAACGGACAGCGGGGAACGGGCAGCGGGGAACACCAGAGACAGACAGCGGGCACACGGGCGGCGGGGAACGGATAGCGGGGAGCGGGGGCTGGTCAGCGCCCGAGGGGAGAGTCAGTGTGGAACCAAACGAACAGCGGGGAACGGGCAGCGGATATGGACAGCGGAGAGCACATTAGATGGCTCAGCCGGGGCTGGTGGGCAGCCACTTAAATTTATTATTTGTATCTCTAGGAATCTTGGGTTTGGTGTTTTTTTATGCACTGTCGTTGAAATGAAAATAACAGTTTATTTCTTAGAGAGGTCATGGGCGGTCATGGCCCATACCCTGCCCCTGACAGCAAGGATACCTACTAACGACAGACGTGAAGTCTGAAAGTGATTTCTGACAAGTGACAGCAGTACACCATCCATGATTCTCCTGTGAGATCTGATCGGATCGTTACAGTGATAAGCGCTAGTCATTAGCGAATCCCCAGGGTCATACACCAATACAGAAGCTGTACTTACAGGGACTAACGGGGGGGATTAGGGGAGGGAGACGGTCTGTAAAACACGTCATGTTGCATAAGCTTTGCAGGTTTTGGGTAGCAACAGCTCGGAAAATCACAAATCGTGATATGTGCAGGATAAGGACAGACGTGAGGTGATATTAGTGGAAATAATTATCTGACAGGGATAAAAAGAGCATGGGAAATATATCCCTCCAATGACTCGCGCGATATCACCTCATTGCTAGGGATGAGAAAGGAACTGGAAAAGACAGTAAACGATTGATGTTCCGTAAAACATGTTGACATATCATTCTCATGTGTTTATGCAGCGCGGACATGGCGTTTATAAGGGCAAATCATGTAAATTGTGGAATTGATATGCTTCGATCGGCAATCAGTTCCAATCCACGGGATGACTATTGACTACGGATTATAATACGTGAAACGGATAGCCGACTTCCCTCGATCACCGGCCATATGGGTGCGACCACAAAAATGAGTTCAGCGATTGATCACTCTAGTCAAGGTCTTCTATGACCAATGGTCCTGGATGATAAATCGTTTGCTGGGATACGGACGATCAAATCCGGGTAGCGACAATATAAAGCCCGATCCCCGACAGATATACCTATCCAGAAGGCATTATCGATTTAGGATGAAAAGTTGCAAGACAAACTTCGATTTCTTTTCTTTTCAATATTGAAATAGCAAGAAACTTTTGGACAAACGATCACGGAAGCAAGCAAAATGTGTTAGGCATAGGTAAATATAGGTACCTACTCAGCACTCGCTTGACTGGGACTTTGACGGAAGGTAACAATCGCTGAAAACCGAGAAGTCAGTTGGGCAAACTAGACCTTTGGAATCAAAATATGGAGGCATCAAAAGATTGATTCCTTTTGGGCATAAATGCAGACCATTTCTAACTTACCAATCACATTAAAATAAGAGAGTGTTTCATGAAGGAGCATGCCTGATCTTGAACAGAAATGCTTGAACTATCTCCTAAGCAAAATAATAATGTTCCTATCATAACAATTTGAATTCCATAGGTAGTGAAAGGCAATCAAGGAATTGATTCACTTTAAACAGATAATCATAATATTGATTCCCCATCAGCTGGCTAATCATTATTTTGATTCACAGGTAATGTTAACAGATAGGGAACAATGACTTGCAAGAATACAGCATTTATCTTGCTATTAATCTCATTTAGTGGTATCCTCAGCACCACAACTGATACCTAAAGCATTGTTGTACTTTACCTTCACTACATTTGATAACAATTCACAATTTTTAAATGTCAAGAATACAAAAACTGAAGCAACAGGTAAACACCATATAAATAATATAAAAGCACTACAACAATGATAATTAGGGGTTTAAAAATTTCATTTTGCCATTTTACACAAATACTGATTGGTTAGTATGTGATTCATGATACAAAAATAACATACAGTGTGATTTCCTCAAAACAGCTTTTATGTGATGGACAGTGGCTCTGTCTTTTTCCCATTCACAAGGCCAAAGGGACAATTTCTTAGCTTTGAGGTAACACTTTTTGCAAACCTACCACATTTTTCTACCTTTTAAGAGAAAAATCTCACCGTCATGGGCCTTTTTTCAACCGTAACGATTCATTTGAAGTCAAAAGTGTACCCAAATGAATCAAAAAATTGATTCCATGCCCATATTTGGTCATGGCTCCTCCCACCAGAATCAAATTATTGATGCCTCCATATTTTGATTCCAAAGGTCTAGTTTGCCCAACTGAAGTCAGCGTCTACGACACTGAAGAATTGCGTGACAAGCAGATAACAAAAAAGAAAATATCACAGAGTTACAACTACCTTCTACTTCGATGACTTATAATCAAACAGCGTATTAGCACAAAAGTTCATAATTGCAATTCTGATTCGTCCATTATTTCATTATCGGATTAGTTGACAAAAGAACACAAGTCTCACAGAAAACGCATGTCAATCCAGGACAAAACGAAACTCACCTGAAGACTGTGATGAATTCTAGATATCAAATCAATCCATCCCAGGAGGATCGGTAACTTCAATAAACCCTTCAGCAGCAGAAGTCCGGTGTGTACCCCTACACTTCCACGACCGCTCTCCGACTGGCGCGCCAGCTGGCGATTGTAAACATCCGAGCGCCGACTCGTGTGTCGATACTTCAGCGACATCTAGCGAGGGATGATTCAAGCACAGCTAGGCTTCAGAAAGTGGATAATGGCTAGATGACGCAGCACACGATGCTAGATGGCGCGCTCTGTCAAACATGGCAGCGTCGGCAGCGTCATCTGTAGTACTGATAGTTCGTGATTTTGCCGCCAGGACTTCATTGCTCAATTGCGGTAAATGCTGCGAGGAGTAGGTAAGGTCTGAGGTTGAGGAAATTGTTGCCTGGTTTCGAATGTCGTCATTTTGTTACTTTCAATAATATAGCATGTGAAGTTAATGATTATCAGCTGTTTTTTTTTCAAGCAAATACAAACTCAAGGGAAGCCGAAAAACAAAGCTCCTTGATTCTGGAGGCCATGTTCAACAGCGAACCACAGGACAGGACGGCAAACTGCGCCGGACTTTAGTGCCAGCAGATCAAGGGCACATTGAGGGAAAGTAGTTGGTGAGTGACATCTTAGGTTTTTCTTTTACCTACCTTATTTGCATCGTTTTGTTGGTAGGTATATGAGACTTAGAAATCCTGAAGCAATACATAGGTATCGGTATGCCAAAGTATCGTCGGAGATCAGATCCTCTCGTCGTGCTTGCTGTGGCATATTTTAAGGCACTTACTGCATCCCATTCTGGGACGCAGCCCCCTCGCCTTGGGACGTAGCCCCTGCTGATTTGACCCACTGCGTCCCTGCCCTGTGCCCTGTCCGGTTCCCTGACCTGTGCTCTGCTGTGTGCCCTGACCTGTACCCTTCCCTCTAAAATGTCCTGTGCCATGCCCTGTAACCTGCCGTGCCCTACTTTCTGCCCTCCTCAGTGCCCTACTCTGTTCCTTGCCCTGTGCCCTTAGTCGTAGCACGTGCACTGCTCAACTTTGGGACGCAGTAAAAAATTGTTAAACTATGCCCTGTTGTAAAAAAGACTTTCCTTGCGGATTGCATTGATGTTTTCCTTTTAAGCTGTCGTGACTTTCGTCGCTTTCTTTCAGGAGCAGCAAGCTGCGGTCTGCTGACATGACCTCGGCTGACCGAAGAGCTCTCCAATCGTTCATAATGCGTCTATCGGACCCGACGAACTGTTGGTAAGACAATCTCGTCTCGGCCTTGGGTCGTCATTCGTCAAATATGATCATCCATAAAAAGTGTAGCAAAGCTATGTGGCAAGTTTTTAGATACCTACGGCTGTTACGGAAAGTAATGATCAATCACAGCATCGGCATGGAATAGTTGGATACTGTCTCAATCCTGAATATAATACCTAAGTCCCAATCACATTTTGAGTTTGAACTGTCTAATGTCCAGTGTTCATGTTGCGACTAAAAATGCTGCGTTCGCATCGTGTCTTATCTCTGTCCATATTATACCTACTTTATGTGGGATTGTGGGCATCAACAGGTCCTGATCTGCAGTTACATCGTTGAACTGATGGCCATTGCATTATCTGCTGATAAAGTAGCCTGTGAATGGGCATTGTTTTGTTGTGTGGTAACTGGTAACTACGTGCTCAGTGCTCAGCCATTTTCGTTGAATGTCTGCACACCACAATCCCGCGCCGCTGCTCCCTCACCCCTCCCCCCCCCCACAAATCGTCCCCACCGACGGAGAGAATCCCCGCCGTATCCACATCCGTAAACACCACCGCCGCCCTCCCATTGGTCCACAGCTCTGCCGTATGACGTCACACCGGCGTACGGCGGCGCTGATTGGCCGCCGGCGGCGCCAAGGCCGTCTGTACGCTGGGCCGTCGGTAGCGACTCTGACGGTAGTCAGTCGACGGACGGTCGGAGCCCCGGGGCCGGCAGCCGACGCGACGGTGGCGAGCGGACGGTGCGCGGCGCGTGCTGATGGGTGGCCGGGACGGCGGCGGCGCCATGGATGTGTACCCGAGCGGCAACATCTTCCAGGAGCTGAAGCTGGTGCTGGATAAGGGCTGCTTCCTCTCGTCGTGCTCGCTGGAGGAGCGCTGGCAACAGGTGGGTCACGTGACACACGTGCGTTTGTTTATATACGTGTGGGCGTGCGTCACTACACATACGCCAGACAAGGTCTTTATCATGGCATCGCCTGATTGCACTTGATATGCTCTGATCAGCTGTGTAGCTCTCTGCCTGCCAAACCCATCATTCTGCAAGCATTAATATCCATAATCAGCATTCAGTACAGCGCACAGCGCAGTGCCCTTCAGACCTGCCTGCTCGGGTCACGGCTCATGTGAATGCGAAACCCCGGCCGGCATTCCAGGCAGTCACGCGGGCGTTGATAACTGAAACAAAAACCCCCGTACCGCCCGGTGGCGGCGGCGGCAGCAGCGCTGTCGAACCCCGGCCTGATCAGTAGTCAGGAGCGGTGTAATCCGTTTACTCTGCCGAAGGGAGCCGGGCCTCTATAATGACGCTGCTGGTGTCTGGAGGCGGTGGGTCGCGCGGCGACGGCTCGAATTCAGTCCCGCCCCTCCCACGGGTAGGGGTCGCCCTGCCAGTCGGCCGTCCATGCTAATTTGTCGCTTCGGTGAGCGTCTTGCAGCTCGTCAGTGTCGCTGTGATGATGGAGCCGGAAGGACTTGCAGCAGCTTTGGTGGAGGATTTGATGTTATTGACCGCATAGTCTGGTCACCGTTGTTTATCAGCTTGCTTATGATTATTCACCCTCCCCTTCCCCCACGGGTAACCAACTAACTAACGTTCAACTCAACCCATAACTAATGCAGCTGGAGTGTTGTGCACCGTTTCCGCTGTTTTCAATTATAGCACACCGACGTAACGCAAATGAATGCGGCGAATAATCGATTGGACATACCGCGTAAAACGTGCGCTGTCTCGTGTTGGTGTCCCGTTCAGTGAGTGTATTGATCGCCAATCTACGGAGCTGACACGGGGCGGCTGTTTTTGTTGTGTTGCGACGCGTGCCACGCGGGAAACCGGCTGCCGCCCCCAGCTCACTACCACAGCCGAGCTGCGCAGTTGTGGGTGAGGTAATCATTACGGCGAATAAACGTAGACGGTGACTCACCGCCCCCCACCCCCACCCACCCCCCTTCCCCTCGCCCTCGGTAACTGTTGTGGTAAAAGGTCACGGCGAGGCTGATTTCTGGCCATCTGTCAAACACCCAGTGCACGGGGCGGGGCACCGGCCTTGGCGACCTGACCTACCCCGCGCCCGACATTTACACCCGCCCCGGCACTCCACCCGTGAGGCTGCGTGCTACGCAATGGTCCGTATATGTCGGGGATAATTATCTAGCTAGCCTCTCATCGTCGAGACGGAGGACTTTGTTCCCAGCCGGCCTTCCAACTCGGTCTTATTTCGGTACAAACTCTGAATTCCTTGCCGGCTGATGACACTTTATAAGCCTACGGTCGAGCTAAAAATGTCGATAGATTTATTTGTCAAACTGCACGACGTAGTTGACAAAGTTGACAGTTACGCACGTGCTTTTGCGCGTGACTGGTCGCTCACGGTCACAGCGCGTGTAGCAGCAATCAGCTGTGAGAGTGTTGTGACTTTTGCAATCATCTCTGCTCTGCAGTGTGTGTATGTGTGTCTGTGTGCTATTTCGTTTGATGTGTTATGACGTGCGGGCGGCCGCGAGAGCGAAGCGCTGACCAAAACAGCCTGCACAATGTCGTAATCGTCATAATTCTGGGTGGGACGGATGCTGGAGAAGATTTTTGCAAGTCTGACAGCGTACAAAGGCCATCCCTTGTATAAAACATTCTGGGTCACACCGATGCTATTTTTCCACTGTCTTCCGCTTCCCTTCCCCTGTTTTTCAACTGTCCCAACTCTCGGCTGTTTCTGCGACACACTCGCTGTCTCGCAGCTGCAGTAGTCCTCTGACCCGAGCTGGCAGTGTCGTCGGCCCGGCCCGGGTCGGCCCGTTTCTGGCCCGGCCCGGTCCGCTCCCGGCCCGGGCCGACGCCGACGGCCGGTCGTCGCAGCCGACGCCGGCGGCAGGAGCAGCGGCAGCGGCCCAGCTGTGGCCCGCCGAGCGAGAATCAATACCTACACACGCGCCACTGTGCGGAGCGAATTGCACGGCAGCCCGGCACCGGCAGCGGCGATGGAGTTTGTGCCTGTGGCCGCGGTGGTCAATGGTAGCGACCCGGTGACCCTCCATGTCTGGTTTGTCTGATTGATTCTCCGAACATCGTCTAGGGTTAAAGTCGTGCCATTCGCTTTGGGTCAATGCTCCTAACGTGACCTGTGGATCAGCCGAGAAAGTGGGAAAAGCCTGGCCAGGGACGCTGTTACTTTTCCAACATGCTTGGCCAGCAATAGAATGGTATTTCCGTCTCACTGCATCATGCAGGCGACATTACCATTCAATTCAATCAATTAATCGAATCAAGCACTCTGTTTCTTTTCCTTCAAAGGGAAAGGCCGGCACAGGTGGGCGGTGGCCGGTTTTCCAGGGCAATACACTTCGTTGGGCTTTCCGTTACTCCTAAACCATCGTCCCCAATTTTTGGTCCCGCTATGCCGGAGAAACTGCGCTCCATGGGGGATCCAGCGGCGCCGCTCCCTGCTCATTACGGGTGTGCCGGGAGAATCACGCGACACCGGCGGGTATAGCCAGTGGCCGGCGGAGGGCGGGGGAGGGCGGAGAGCATCACGGTGCCGTCTGCACGCAGCGGGCCGCCGCCCCCGCCGCCGCCCCCGCCCGGGCTGCCGCCGAGCTATCTCCCCCGATCGGCCGCCCTCCGCCCACTCCGCCGTCCGCCCAGCCCTCCGTCCGTCTGTCTGTCTGTCTGTCTGTCTGTCTGTCTGTCTGTCTGTCTGTCTGTCTGTCTGCCCGTCTGTCCCAGCCCGCCCATCCGCTGTTCCGCGGAGGAGGTGGGCGGTACGTAGGCGGAGGCCGAGACAGCACACCTCCTCCGGTGGTAGTGAGGGACTGGTCCGCCCTCGTAACAGATACACCTGGCCATCGTGGGTGTATTTTGACCTCGTGTTTTCCATGAGCGATTCACCCCTCCCCCTTCCATTGCACCCTGCAACTACCCATTTGCTGTCTGTTAGGACATCTGGGCGCTTACTTCCGAAAACGTAGGTACTGTCCCCACTCTTATCATCGTCCCTATACTTACTACAAACGCCTCGGTATAATAAATTACTTAGTCTCCAGGTGATACCCTCATCGTAGACATAATTACACGACACTTGACACATACAAATGTCACATTACACCATCTTATCGTGTCCTCAAGCTGACAGTTCGTCTACGTGGCGACGTGGGGCCTCGTCTGCACTGACAGGTCAGGTGCAGGAATGTGGCGAGGTGGTGTATGAGTCAGCGCGTCACCCGAGGTCCCGGCGCTCCATCAGACAAACAAGTTCGACCTTCACGGAACAGAATGTGTCAAGCTGTTTGAACGGTGATGTCATCTACTTGTCATCTGCTGAGCTAGTCCTCGTAGGACCTTATAAAGTGCCATTGAGCTGAAGGTTTGAGAGAAGTTTCGTTGTGGATAACTATTTATGTAGACGGTCATGTAACGTCTGCTTGACGCATTGTATAACCTACTTGTTTGAAGCACTAGCGTTACCGTTTTCATGAATTAACGAATGAACTGTTGAGTCTTACGTGCCCAATGCCGGTGAGCCTATCCGCACCGACTACTTCGGCGTCGCCATGAACCAAGGTCATCCATGAACCGTACAGCATACCTGTGCCCCGGACTTCCGTCAGTTCTTCATATACGAGCCTGGTGATCAGCTATGCTAATGACGTGTCCATGTCCCGCGGGTGGCTTTCAGCGGTGGAAAAAATGGGCACCTCGTTCCGCCGGTCGAGTGTCGAACACAACACATTCCCCGCAGTGTGCCATGTTCGACGGACGAACTCATTAGTTGACACTCGTATATCGTGATATTCCTGATGCATTCTGGTGTTCTTCGTCGTGGTAACTCGCTGAAAAAAAAAGCTGAACAATTTTCTTCGGATGGCGGAGTCAAAAGTTCGACTGTCCTGATGTGGCGTAAACTTCCAGTTCGGCTTAGCCCAAGTTGATTCCACAAAGTACAAACCGAGTTAGCAGTGCAGGGTCACGGTGAGGTCATACAGGTCACAGGTCACCGGAGGTCAGTCAGCTGAGTCGTCCCGCTGAGGCTGAGGTGCGGCTCCGGGTTCCGCGGCTGTTTTTGTGTGTCGGCCACTAAATTACCAGCTGTTTGTGCTTTTGTCTGTAATTGCCCGACTAGCGAGGCGTAAGAGGGCTAATGCATTAGGCTGTTATTTTTGCTGCATGAATGCAAGGGAGATAAATTGCCGAGTTTGCTACAAGTGTAGCTCCGTCACACAGCATTTGCATTGTTTAATCCTGCGTCTTCTTGCTTTATGTTTCGCTTCTAGTAAGAACTTGTACCTGCTTTATTTGCATGCATGAGTGAGTGCCTTCTTTACATCGTTCTTGCTTTACAATTATCGGCGACTGGCGTGCTTTTGTTTCTGACACAAAACATTCTTGCAATGCCTCATCTTTCCAGTTCCCCTGCTTCTCTCTCTCTCTCTCTCTCTCTCTCTCTCTCTCTCTCTCTCTCTCTCTCTCTCTCTCTCTCTCTCTCTCTCTCTCTCTCTCTCTCTCTCTCTCTTTCTCTCTCTCCCCCTCTCTCTCTCTCTCTCTCTCTCTCTCTTTCTCTCTCTCCCTCTCCCTCTCCCTCTCCCTCTCTCGTCTCTCCCTGCCTGTCTCCCACTATACCCCGCTACCGTTTCGGACTCAGTTTTGAGCCTATTCACCACAGCACCATCCCGCACCGACCACGTAGTACAGAGAGAGGGGGTGAGTCTCCGGCAGAGGACGGGAGCAGAGGGCAGAGTCGGAGAGGAGACCGATCCGTCTTCCGCCGACGGCGGAATTACACGGCCGCGTCGCGTTTGCCGACATCGCCGCCGACACCCTCCCGCCGCTCTGCCCTCCCTCCCTCCCCCTCTCTCTCCGTTCCGGCGGGCAGAAACTAATGGTGACTTATTTCATTA